ATTATAATAATAAGGGTAGTGGGTCCAGAATCATTTTGTTTTCTTGGCTGCTTGATCTCATGTAAGTTTACTTACATTTTCAGAGCATCATATTTCCTATGGTATTTAAAACTTTCAAACATACTGTATTTTTTTTTTTTTTTTTTTTGAGACGGAGTCTCGCTCTGTCGCCCAGGCTGGAGTGCAGTGGCCGGATCTCAGCTCACTGCAAGCTCCGCCTCTCGGGTTCACGCCATTCTCCCACCTCAGCCTCCCGAGTAACTGGGACTACAGGCGCCCGCCACCTCGCCCGGCTAGTTTTTTTTATATATTTTAGTAGAGATGGGGTTTCACCATGTTAGCCAGGATGGTCTCGATCTCCTGACCTCGTGATCCACCCGTCTCGGCCTCCCACATACTGTATTTCAATCATCCATCAAGCAGTGTCTTGAACTGAGAAGGGATTAATTGAATTAATGAGTTTAATTTAATTAACTGTGATTGGAGGATGATTTTTTTTCTTTAATACTTAGCTTTTGAGATCCTTAGCCATCAGAGACTTCTGAAAACTTGAGTTCAATTAGATTTAGTTAGGCATAAGGGAGAAAGGAATTATTGAAAGCAGTGACAAGCAATTCCCTTTTTCTTACCTGGCCTCTAAAAGTTCTCCTGAGATTGAGACTGTGGCCATCAATAGATTCCTTGAGGTGCCCTGCATCAACTGATACCAGCACTTGTGCTCAATGAGACTTGCCAGCAGTGACAATCACATTAGCATCTGTGGAGTGAAAGCAAGCCACTGGTACATGAAGGCACTTTCTCTTTCTTTGAGCAGTTTCTTCTAATTGAGGAAAATATGCATGTATATTGGTTTCTTTTAGAAAGAATCTTCCCCCCCTTTTATTAAACACCACAGATTTTTGTACACATTGTACAGACAAGGGTGGACACTGGGGAGGTATACAATGCTCTCTGGGTGAGCACCACTTCACACCTGTGATGATTACTCTGATTGAAGTATGTTAAGGACATAGGATGTTCTTTAGCATGGGTGTATGCGGGCTGCAGTATTCAAACAGCAACATCGACAACCTGCTGGTAACAAATTATTTGAAAATAAATACTTTACAATGCACCAGCAGAAATACTAAAACCCAACCTCATCAAAGGAGCATAGAGATAAAGCTTTTTTCATTAATTCAGAGAAGGATTATCTTTCCTTTCTTTCTGATAGTGGTGATCTGGCCCTTTTGCAGCTCCACAGAAAAGGGGGCTGAGATGCTGGCAGGGAGGGACTGTGAGCTGGCACATGGTGTTACTGAACAGATTTAAAGGTATTTTAAACATAGGCTTTTAATGCTATCTTAGAATGGGTGTGTATGGCCTCCCTTCTGCTCCAGCTGCTGAGAATAGGCAAATTGGTCCCAGAAAGACAGATACAGTGTATTTATGGACCCTGCATTCTTGATCCCAAGTGCTATGAGCAAGAGAATTCCTAAAAACATATGCCTATGAAAGTACTCCTGTGATTAGATAGCTTTATCTTTGGGGCCCTCCCTCTTTATATGAATTTAGCTTTAGAAGTTCATGGCAGGTAGCAACCTGTGGAGGTTCAGCTCATAGATGTACCATTTCCTTTATTCTCTTGAAATATGTATTTCTGTTCATGCCATTCTTGTATCTCTTCTACCCTGTAATTTGTGCAAAAGGAAAGTATCAGCTGTGCCTGCATAACCGTCTCTATTGACATTTTGTAGAACAGAACATATTGGACCTATTTTCTTTCTGCAATCAGTTTCAAGTGTTTGAACCTTCCTAGCAGCTGGGAGACAATATTTATTTTTAATCAGCAACTGACTTCATGAGTCTGATGGCATGTAATATATGTGACTGTGTATTAAAACATGCAGAGCTGCCTAAATGATGAGGCAGAATTTCAACAGGAAGAGATCAAGTGTGCTGTGACAGGAATGCTTTGGGATCTTGGAATGGGTCAAACTCCATTCTGGAAGTATAATGAAATGGTTATCAGGGCAGTTCAGGAGGAGGACAAAGATTTCCATTTCCAGGAAGGCCAGCCAAATTCACAGGCAGGAGGAAGATTAGCAGAGTTTTACCTGGACAGGGTGGGGATGGAGTTAATACGGCAGAAGAGCTGGGGAAAGGTGGTTCGTGTGGGACCATTTGTTGGGGAGTTTCACAGCATACCAAGTACATTTCTTTTTTTTTTTTTTTTGTTAATTTATTTATTATTATTATACTTTAAGTTGTAGGGTACATGTGCATAACGTGCAGGTTTGTTACATATGTATACTTGTGCCATGTTGCTGTGCTGCACCCATCAACTCATCATTTACATCAGGTATAACTCCCAATGCAATCCCTCCCCCCTCCCCCCTCCCCATGATAGGCCCCGGTGTGTGATGTTCCCCTTCCTGAGTCCAAGTGATCTCACTGTTCAGTTCCCACCTATGAGTGAGAACATGCGGTGTTTGGTTTTCTGTTCTTGTGATAGTTTGCTAAGAATGATGGTTTCCAGCTGCATCCATGTCCCTACAAAGGACACAAACTCATCCTTTTTGATGGCTGCATAGTATTCCATGGTGTATATGTGCCACATTTTCTTAATCCAATCTGTCACTGATGGACATTTGGGTTGATTCCAAGTCTTTGCTATTGTGAATAGTGCTGCAATAAACATACGTGTGCATGTGTCTTTATAGCAGCATAATTTATAATCCACCAAGTACATTTCAACAACTTCTGTTTGTTTTTGTATTATTATTAGGGAGCTGCAGGGAAGGGCTTGGGTTATGTACTTTTAGAATGTGTGTGTAACAAGCACCTCGGGAGCTTACTAAAAATGCAGATTCCAGAATTTCTGCTCCAGAAGGTCTAAAGTGGAGCAAAGGAATTTGCATTTTAAATAATTACCACAGACAATTCTGATGCATGCAATTTAAGAAAAATTGTTTAATATTTCAAAAGGAGAATGAAGAATCTTGCATTCTTATTGCTCATCATTAAAATCCATCACTAATCCACAAGTATCAAGAATAGAAAGCAGGAAATAAAGACAACTCTAAAATATTTTTGTGCAACTTGACTGTAAGTGATAGGGAAGATAATTAGCATTTTAGTCCTCTAGTATTCATCAAATGACTGAAACAAAATATATATATTTTAATCTTTATTACAGCCTCAGTAAGTCAACTAACATTACACCATTTTATAGGTGTAAAACAAACTCAGAAATGTTGAGTAACTAGTCCACAATTGCATATATAGTAATAATCAGGAACGTTTGGGCTTTTCAGTCTCTTTGCTTAGGGAAGTTTATCTGTGGCTTCAATTACACAATGTCTATACCAACAAATCTCACATCTATGTCCACAGCCTGGATCTTTCTTGTGTATCTTCCAGGCATTGATCTGATGACCTGTTTGACATCTTTGCTTAGATATTTCTCAGATACTTCAAGTTCTACATATTCTCAATTGTACTTATTGTCTTCCTCCCACGTATTTCTCTCCTCCTCTATCCTGAACTCAGCAAGCAGGTCTTACCAACAATCTATTCATTCAATTCAAAAATAATGTTTTTTTGGATTGAAGCACCTAGTTCTGTGTCCTTCTGTCAAACCTCACTGCTAACCTGCTAGTTCAGGCCAGCATCATCTCTTACCAGGCACATTGATTAGCCTTTGCTGCACAACACAAATCTCCCCATAAACTAATGACTTAAAATGGAAATCATTTTGCTTAACTCATAATTCTGTGCATCAGCCAGGCAGTTCTTTGGGTCTGGACTAGCTCGCTAATCTCTGCAGGACTTACTCTTATGTCTACGATTTGCCAATGAGTTGGCCGGTGGCTTAATAATCTACCATGACCTCACTCGTGTCTATCTAGTGGTGGGCAGGCTGTCAACTGAGGGCCGGATGGCTTCTGGCTAGGGTGCCTAAGTTCTTTTCCATGTGGTTTCTCATCCTTCAGCAGGTTAGCTTGGGCTAATTCACATGGTGGTCTCAGGATTTCAAGTGTGGTAAGAGTGAACAGTGTATGAGTACACTTCAAACCTTTGTGCTGTATTTCTTAATGCCAGCCAGGGACACTGAGTCACTGTGGCAACGCACTGCCAAAGGGTATCAGTAGAGGAATAGAAATATTTTATGACCATTTTTGTAGTCTATTATGCTAGGCCTCTGTAATAACCTAGCATTGTTGGTTTCCTTACCACCAGTCTTGCCCTGTCCAATACATTTTTTCACACAGCAGTCAATGGATAGTCCATCATGTAACCACCCTGCTTAAAATTTCACTGGCATATCACTGCTCTGAGAATAAAGTCCTAACCCTTTAATGTGATTAATATGCTACCCCAGGATTTGTATTCTGTCTACCTCTCTGGCCTTTGACTCTCTCCCTTTATGTTCTTAATTTCTCTTGGTTACTCAAATTGCTAGTTTAATTCTCACCAAGGCAGAAGGGAGCATACCATAGTGAATTCTCATTGGTCTCCTTTTCTCTTTCTATCTGAAAAGCTCTTCATTTTCCTATCTTTCTTCTTTCCCTTTGCCTACCTCACCTATTTATCCCTCAGTATCAGCTAAAGCATCCTTTCCTCAGGCCTCCCTTAAGTGAAGTATAAGTGAACCTTAGCATTTGTACTTCGTTGTAATTACATGTTCAAAATCTGACTTTCCCATGAGACTAAAAGCTTTGTGAGATCAGGGACATTATCTGTTTCACCTAGTACTGAATCTCTGACATGTAACACAGTGCCTACTCTATAACAGGTACTTGATCAATACTGGTTAAAAGAAGAGGCACCCCTGGCTCGTCTGAGTTTTGAACTTTTCTTACTATGACACATTGCAATTTAGATTCAATTTGCTGATCTTGTGTCTTTTGCCCATATATTTAATTAATTTTATGTTCGTGAACTAAAAATGATTTTAGTAGTAGATATATATATATATATATAAAAAAATTCAAATAACTTTCCTTGTTCAGAGGTTAAATGTAAATGATATTTTATGTTAATGAATTTTTCCTGCAGTCTGACCTCCTTAGCAAAAAAATAAGCAGATAATTTAGGGTGAAAGGGTCTGGACTACACAAAAGGACACTCAGGCAATGTTTCAGTGGTTTGAGAGCAGTCCTATCCATGTTTCTTTAGCTGTGGCCTGTTGCCACATGGAAATTTCCTGGTGGGCCACCATGTTAAAGATTGGCTAAGGTCTACTCTGTGGAGGCAGGTTTACCCTGGAGACCATTCTAAAAGTAATGGAAAACCTACTCAGGAAATGTAATTTCAAGGCCTATCTTTTTTGACTTGTGCAATTTTGAAAGTTCAGTCTGTGTCATACACATTTTGTGTCAGATGAAGTTTTCACAGCAAAGCTCATAGTAGTTCTGATAACTGATACTATAAAGAAAAACCAGAAACACAATTTCCAGAAGCTTCTCTGGACACTAGAAAAGACTGTCAAATAAAATAGTTTTCTCAAGTCAAAATGATCATTATTGCCCTTGAAGACTAAATGATGTATTGTTTGAATAAATCTAATGAGTTAGGAACCTATACAGTGGTTTATACCCCTCTTCCCATATACCCTTTACCTTCTGGGATTTCTCAGGTTTCCCATCTATGAAATGGCGGTGTTCATAATGTTGTATTTCATGAGTGTAAACAATATAATCTTATACTTCATAAAATTGCTATAGAGCTAGGATGAGCTAATAGGTTTGAAATAACTTTGTATACTATAAAATGCTATTAATTCATCAAACATTCATTAAGTACATATATACCAGACCTTGTGCTAGACCCAAGGGAGGGATATAAAAACAAATTCTTGCTTTGTGATTGAGCTCACAAATGAGGGAAGTGACAGACGAGGGTAAAATCATAATACAGGATAAAGAAAACTGCAGCATCACAGATGGTGTATCAATTGATTCTGTCTAGAGGGTTCACAGAAGAGAAGATACTTAATGTGGACTTGGAACGCTAGCTAATATTTCACTAGAGGGAGAAGGCGCAAAGGGCATTCCAGTCAGATATCTACTTATAATCCGTATCAAGAGAGTCACTACATTTTTGAAAAAATGGTAAGTGGAAGGAAGGTATCCAGAAGGCATGTAAAGGTGATGTAATTGTTTCTTTTCTTTCTTCTACTTCTTTTTTATTTTCTTAGATTGACAGAAGACAAGCTAACTTCATAAAACAAAGTTAGAAACAAAGAAGCATCAGAGACAACTGAACCAGGACAAGAAATGGTGAAAGTGTAGCAGGGAAAACAATCTGTTACTTTATACATACCCTAAAAAATGCATGAAAGTTTGAAACCTCAATGAAACCTCAAGGAAACCCCATGAAAAACAGGATGCTCCTCTTTTAATGATCAAGCAAGTGAATATATCAATTTAGAGATTACGAAAAAATGAAAAGTGACTAACAGTATGTTTGTCAAAGATACATTCAAATGCATTTTACAAAACAACTTCAACAATAGTTCATGAACTAAGCAGGACAATGGGAGAATAAGCTGAGTCCTAGTCAGAATTATTACCAATACTTTGTGTCACAGGTGTAAAGGCCTGTTACTCCTTTATACCACCTCAACTCTTTTGCTAGGTGCTACTGAGATGAGTGAATATTCTGAGTTTATTTTAAAGATAGAAATCTGTGCAAGAAAAAGTAGCAAAGCATTTTAAGGGTAAATAATTCAAAACCTCAGGTGGCAACATACACATGTACACGCATACAAACTCATTTCTCACATTCAGAACTATTAAGTTAAAGATCAGACATATGATTTACATTACTGTTGAAGGTGAAAGGGGATGCTATTTATAATTTTCACTGGGGAAACAGGTACAAACCTGGATGGTCCCAGGCAGAATTAGATGTATGGTGACCCTAGTTACAGGAACCACAAAGTTAGACTTTGTTAAACAGAACAAAGCCAATGTTCTTTGTGCTCCTCTAAGGAGCTCCTGGAGCTTTTGGTCTTGACATATAAGAAATTTTGGTATGGGCATAATTTATAATGTAAGTGCTGAAGGGATGGAGTAGGGACCAGTATAATATTGTGGTTAAGAGTATTACTAGCTTCACATCCTGGCTAATGAATTGTGTGATGTTGGACAAGATGCATCTATATGACCAGCTACTGTGTGCCTTAGCTTCTTCATTTGTAAATTGAGAACAATAATTGGTTATAGTGAGAATTAAATGAGTTAATATATGGAAATTGCTTGTAGCGAGGTCTGGCTCACAGCATTATATATTATTATATATTGTCATTTTGTTTAATTATCCCCATTTTATAGATTTCAAAAGAAACACACACACAACCAAAAGAAACAAACAAATTTTATTTTAGGGTTTATCTGATGTCTTTCAGGTTCACTTTAGAATATTCAAGAAGGGATCCAGGCATTAGATTGGGCTGGAAACTTGGTCTCCTACAGAAAGAACTATCTTCCCGGCTTTCTCTGGAAATGAGTGGAGGGAATGAAGAGGTACTATTAGCCCTTATTTTATTGGTTTGGTTTCAAGTCTCTGAGATGTCCAATGTTGATCAGACGTATGGTGGAGGTGCTACTCATATAGATGCATTTTCAAGGAGAGTGAGGTTTAAAAAATACTAAAAACATCTGGAACAACCACAGTGGGGTCCATATTTTTATGTTTACATTTAAGTCTCACATGCCGGGGCTAAAAGTTCTTCATTATTGTAAATAATAAAAATTACAGCTAACATTCCTGAACACTTACTAGGTGCCAGGCCCATCCCTAAGTGTTCATATATGTTAACTCATTTAATGCTTACAACACATACTTGAGGTAAGTACTATTGTTATTAGCATTTTGCAGGTGAAGATACTGAGGGACAGAGAGGTTGAGGATTTATTTATCTCTGCATTTTACCAGTGCCATACATACCACACACCTAATATTTCCTGAATCAAATTTTGCATGCAGATTTATTAATATTTTCTAGCAGAAGTCATTTGCATTTTTTTTTTTTCAGTGAAAAGAACTTTCGAGAATCTGTTTAGAGGAAAAACATTTACAGCTGCCTTGTTACCCTTGCTTATATTTATATGTGGTGTTTTGATTTCTGCAAGACCATAAGAATTAGTAATCACAAATAACATTTCAAATAACCGTTTAAGTACCATTTTAGGTAAGGATAGAAACATTACATGAGATTTTCAGTTCTGGAAATCAGTCTGACAAATGAATATAGATTGTTTTTAATAAATCATTTATATTTGGCTTAAAAAGCATTATTGTGGATTTTTTTTCTCTAATGATTTGATTCCTAATCGTGTTTACCTCAGGACAATATCATAATTGCTTGTATTTTCCAAACATACACCAGCTGATGAGAGGCAAGGAGGGACATTATTGGACAGTTCTGTAAATGCCAGTAGGCCAGTTTGGGGTTAATGGTGAATCTCTGACTCCTCCACGGAGTGGAAAATCTCTGTGGGAACATCCTTCAGTGGATTGCATGCCAGTGGTAAAATGCGTGAAGCACAGAGGGGAAGCCAAGCAGCGAAAGAGGCAGCAGGAAAGACATAAACAGCAGAGAACATGGGGAATATAACACAGAGTAGCCATTAGAGGAGATTGGTCAGGGAGGCCAAATGAAGATGGTAGTAAAATTTTATCTTCCTCAATAGGCTATTTTGCAATGGTACTTTGTATATTAAATGATTTGCTGAAAAAGCAGATACCACATTTTGATGTTCTGTGTCGGTTATAGAAAACTATAACACGGGGAAAATATTGTTCCCAAGGATAAGGTAATATCATTGTATGTTTATTTGCTATATTTTAAATTTTAAAGGGCCAGGCTCATGAAATGAATTATGCTTGGATTAAATGCTTTTCTAAATGCCAAAGTGATAATGGCCTATTTCTATTTCTTCCTCATTGTGCCTCAGTTTGATAACAGAAATCTGAACATGACTATAATCTCATCAGACTTGTTTCTTTAATAAAAGATGTTACCCAAAGGATTCATTCATGCAACAAACACTTATGGAACAGTAACCATGGACATGAAAACAGTCTAGGAGGAGAGAGAAACAGTAAAAAACAATTATACAGATCACCCTAAAATTACAATCATTTCAAATGCCACAAAGAAAAAGAAAAATTAGGGTGTTTCTCAGAGTGTGGTATAGAAGGACCTGATCTAGACAGGTGTGTGTTGGGATAGGAAGGAGGGTAGAGAGAAAGTCTCCCTGAGTAAGTTATACTTAAGGAGATGAAGAATAGTGAGGAATTGGCAGAGTGAAGGCAGTGATGGGAAAAGTCAGGTGCACATGATTGATCTTACTCTATTCTTTATAGTAACTGGTTTTGTGTCTATGAAGTTAGTACAAAAGAAGCTTAGTTAACAATGTCTGGTGTGGCCAGGTGGAAGAATGCAATGGAAATATGAAAACATTACAAAGTGACAATAGGGTACTGGATTGTCACAATGTTTGTCTTCTAAAATACCCTCTTGTATCCTGGCAAACAAAGATGTGTGGTAGAATTATCGAAATAGAGGTGGATAGTTTGCCTACTTTTTGTCTTTGAAGCTTCCAGAAGATGGATGAAGAGTCTGTAAATTTGGAAGAGGCAGAAGATAGCAATGAGGTAATGCTGATTGCTCTCCTCATGGTAGTACAGTTACCACAAGCTAATGTGGACTTCTTGCTGGACAGACTGGGTAATGCATGAAATGCCTTCTAAGGATGTGGATATAAAAAACTCAGATGGCAGACATATAAAAACCCACTTCTAAAGACATTCTGAGGGGAATTCAGTGCTGCTCTCAGAGCAAGCGTTTTACATCTACTCAATTTAAAACTATGTGTTATGGATAATTTTAGATATTTATTTTTTATTTCAATATGAGGAAGAGGAAACTCAAATGACTTTTTCTGTGCTGATGCTGGATTCTGTATATAGCCTCAGAATGAGTCTGACATTAAAAGTAAAAATGAGTTAAATTCTCATATCTTTTTTTTTGGAAAAAACATAACCCAAACCCCAAACTGTGTGGGAGGAAGAGGCAGTGCTCTGTCTGGGAGATCTGAGGGGAAAACTTTCAGAATGCTCACAGCCCACATGATCACATGGTGTAAATTCTTGGGGAGGGAATTCTTTGGCAGCCTAACTATATAATTTTCCTCAGAGCAGAAGACTTTATGTTAAAGTTTTAAAATCACAGTAAGATTTAAAGAATTGCTCTTTAATTAAGAAAATGGCTAGATATTTTCCTATAGTTTCCTTTCAGAAAATAGGTTTCTTAACAATTTAATGCAATGGTTGGAGTAATGACAGAAAAGCACAGACTCACCGCACACTCATTTAGGAACATGTGTGTTTGTTTAGGTGTGAACCCCAATTAGGAATATGCATTAAATTATTCTATTTTCATGCAATTAGGTGGATTAAATGATCAGATCCCACAAGGATAGTTCTGTTAAAATCATGGCTAGATTGACAGTTCTCAAGTTCAGATATCTCCCCTTGAAATTGAAGTAACCAAATGTAATAGTTCCTCTGCCAACTCTTGATTTTTAGTGTGTAAATTATGCATGAATGTTACATTGACTGCCAAGGGTCAATAACAACACATCATCGGGGGCCCAGATGGTTTGAGTTCTGCTGTGTGCCAGCTTGATGCTGAAGGAGATATAAAAAGTTTAATAATGGTCATAGTTAATGTTTATTGAGCATTCTCTATATGTCAAGCAATATTCTAAGTGCTTTCATGTTTTATCTCACTGACTCCTCAAGACAACTCTTTGAAATCTGTGTTATTCTTTTCCCCATTTTACAAATTAGAGAAAAGGAATGTTGCAAAAATTGGCTGAAGCTTGTAATTGTGCTCAGGCTAGCAAACCACAAATGTGCTATATGAGAAGGGAAAACACACTTTACGGATTCTTTTATTTTCAAGACATACCTAATTAAAAAATTTAACCTAATTTGTCCCCATTCAAGGGTTTATTTTTTCTTAGTTAAACAAAATTTAGTGCTATTAGAAACTAAACTTTATTGGTCAACACTTGTGGAGCAGTCCAGGAGTTTACTTTGTTTTCTTGACTCGATGTTGTGAGTTTGTAAGAAAGTAATACTTTTTGTTTTTCCTTTTCTTATCTCCCATGGTGAGAAATCACAAATAGATTTTCCAAATCCCCTTATAGGCAGATGGTATGCAGCAGCATGTCTCAGATGCATTCGACAGTCAACTCCCTCCATCTTTTGGGGGAGAATTTTGTGCAGTAAATATTTTCCAAAACACACTTTGATAAATGCTACTGTGTGTTTACTACCAGCATATTTTGCCACCTTTTTTGTCTCCCAATCACTATAGTCTGCATATCATCTTTAAAGTTTTCATAATTTTGAATCCAGTGGCCTCTTTTCAGATCATGACTTCCCTACAATTGACATTACAGACAATTTCTGACTCCTCTTGGAATGTTTTCCTTTCCTTTCTGGGTTTCCAGAAGACCATTTCTTTCTGGTTTTCTTTCTGCTCCTTTGTCTTCTCTTCTCAGTTTTCTTTATCAACTTGTCTTTATCTAAATCTTAGATGTTAGTGTTCCCCAAGGTTCCATCCTTGACGGTCTTTCTTGTGTCTCAACGTTATATTCCAGTTCCTTCATTAAACTGCCACACTCATTCTTAATTTACGATAACTTCCCTGATATCTTTAGAAATAATGAATCACTTTTCATTTTCTCTGCCAAAGGCACTATATTTTTCCCATAGTGAAATGCATACCATGTTGCATATGTCTACCCTCTAACTAGCCTCTTTTGTCAAGGTGTGATAGACTCTATTGTAGTTAATGCTAGTTATCAGAAAAAAAGTTTACATCTCACTCATGCAAGAATCTGCCACAGATCTGGGCAACTCTCAAGGATAGCTGTTTACTGATCTGTTCAGTGACTCAGGGATCTAGGCAACTTCAAACTTGAGGCTCTACCTTCTCGATACAAGGACTGTTCTCATATTTCCATGGCAGAAGAAGTAAAAATTGAGTAGGGGCTTCTACTGCTTCAGTGTGGACTGACACAGACATGTGCTATTCACATTTCATTGAGCAGAACTAACGATAAGGTTTTATCTTTTGATAGTAAGATTGAAAGTTTAGTTAGTTATCCATGTGCCCAGGAAAGAAAGAACTTTCGTTGAAAAGCTCAACACAGGGATTGTATCTTAAGTATCTCTCTATGCCCAGTACTTGGCACAGAGTTTAACAATAGATGTTCAATAAATGTTTGGTAAATTGAATCTAATCTAGTTCAAACTTGGGTCATTTTACTGATGGAAGAAGTGAAGCCCTTCAAAGAAAAGTGACTTTCCTCAAATTATTCAGATATTTACATGGCTAGAGCAAGAATCTAGGTCTTTTGCTCTTTTTACTATATTAGATATTCATGGAAGAGTTTGTTCTACAAGAATTGTATGATTTTGTTGGGTTGTACATTATTTCCATTAAGGCTATGAGTTTTGTTTGTTGGAATGTTTATTAACTTGCTTTGCATTTTTGCTTACAGAGTTAACAGAGATATGACATGAACATATATTAGAAAAATGATTCACACACAATAGAAAAAGTAAGTATAGATTATCAGCTTGTTGCCAGCAGCACCAATAATTTTTTTTGGGTTACTAAATAGCCCACATAAGTTTGAGCAATATTGTTTCATTTACTAGTGGCATTTAGTTGCATAGCAAATGCTTTTACTGATAGAAAATAAAAGAAGATTGAAGAAAACCACACGGTATTATCAATTATTACCCATTCTTACTTCTTTCTTTACTATAGTTTTTGGAATGGTAATTTAGTGTATTTGCTTAGCAATTTCGAGGCCTATTTTCCCATTTTATCCTTACTAGCTTTTTAGGTAGTAGGTAGGGATTCTCTTAGTGCTGTCTGCGGAAATATTGCAATTCTATGGCTAGTATAATATTTTTTTGGCAACCTTATTTATTTCAATGCTTGATGGTCTTATTTGCTTTACACCTCAGGGTTCTCCTCAAAACTCCATTGAGGTTCTCTCTTAAGCTGTACCTCTACAGGTAATATTCCACTTGAACATATAAACTTTAATGCAATGTTTCTAAAATAAACTCATAATCTTCTTCCCTGCTCTCAAGCTTCCTCGAACAAATAAACAAACTGGCAGAGACTGTTACTTGTAGCATGTGGCTAATTTCTAGTCAGAGAATATGAACAGAACTTATGAGTATTTCTTCTATGTCTGGCCCATATCATTTTTCTGGTCAACGAACAAACAAATAAACAAGCCAAATACAACAATGAAGATTAAAAAAAAAAAAAAAGAAAACCCTTCCTAGTTTCCACCCGGCTGGAGAAGACTGTGCCAAGCTTGGAAGCCATATTGTTGAAAGTGGCAGAGCATTTTATCGACTTGAGTTCAGTGACTATGGAGAAGGAGCCCTATTACTCTACTAGACTGTTTGAAGAGCAAGCAATAAACTTATACCATGTTGAGTCATTGTTTGAGTCTATTGTTACCACAGAATACTTTGATACAGAAACCTCAGTTTGTGTATTTGTGAAATGGGAATAATAACTACCTTACTTTGAGAACTAAATGAGATAATATAAACAAAACACTTATTTTAATTCATGACTCATAAAAGAGATATGATAAATTTTAGTCTATTCCCTTCCTTCCTTCTTCATATAGATATGAGAAATACAATCCTTTTAATTCCCTTCAGAAACTTCTGAATCCACTACCAAATATAATCCTTTTAATTCACTTCAGAAACTTCTGAATCCACTACCCCTCTTTCTTGACAGAGAGATAGTGATTATGAGATTGAAACTCTGTACATCTCCCAATGCTGAATGTACACACAGACATGGATCCAAATCCACATTCTCTTCCCTTTCTCCTGTTTCAATACTATTCTTTCTGCTATTTAATATTAGCCAGTATTTATTAAATAATTAGCATATACCAGGTAATATGCAAAGCTCTGCATGGATTATACAATTAGATCTCATGATGTAGACATTGTTTCATATCCCCATATTTCAGATTAAAGAATTGGGAGGAGAAAAATTAAGCAGTTTGCTCAAAAAGCAAGTAGATCTTCAAACTCTCTCATTCTATTTTCACTTTTTATCTGCATTTAAACGTGAACATATCCCTACAATCTTGAGAAAAACGATTCCGTGAAACTTGACTTCCTTCTTCATTATCTTCACTTTCTGTCTCAACTTCCTGACCTTCACTCTTCAAGCCCTCTGCTCTCCCCAATCCAATGAAATGCCTCTGTTTTCTAGTAACACATCCACTGGAGGCTTCCTGGTTTGGATTATCATTCAACCTTTCTGAAATATTTAGTTCTGTACCACTCTCTCTTCCTCAGAACACTAGAGGAGAGTTCGTTACATGCCACACTACTTTTCTAGCCACTCTTTCTCAGTCTAACTTTAGGGACTCTTTCTTCTGACAGTTCCTTGAGTGCTAGTGTCCCTCAGGGTTCTATCCCTAAAATTTTTTTTTTTAACATTAAATATTCTGCTTATAATATCTTTTACTCCTACAGTTTCAATTGCTATATATGCTACTCATTCCTAGTCTTTTGAAAATCTCATCTGCACATCTCTTTTGAATTCCATATTCGTTTCATGAATTTCAAGTTGAAATTCTAAATTTAGATCCCACATAAGCACCTCACATTTAACATATATAAAACTGTACTTATAATTTCTCCCTCTAAAATCTTTCCTTCTAACATTTCTTCCTTTGAACTCCTCTGTCTCAGGAATTTATCTATTTGTCCAAATTAGAAATTGCACATCATCTTGGGATCTGCATTTTCATTCATCTGCTAAATGCAGTCAAGTTCTAAGTCTTGATAATAATGCAAAATTTTATTTCCTAAATATACTTCCTAAATGTACGTGATAGGCTTTTTAAAATCATCATTTACTACCAATTGCCATTATTCATGCCTCCTGTGCATCAAAAGCTGATGCAATATTATTTGCCATTCTCAGAAAATAGCATGCCCTTTCATGCTTTGAGAAATGATGTTGTCTTTTTCTTCCCTTTCTGGTTGGAAAACTCTTTCAATAATCAGCTATATTGTCATTACCAGTGTGAATCTTGGGAAATTTCCTGAGGTCAAGCTGGCTGCTCACCTACCCTCCCTCCTATGCTACTATAGAGTGCCCTGCACTTGGCTCATTTCTTAATATTTATAAAAAGTTTTTAAGTCTTTGCCTGTTAATCTCCCCTTCTAGACTTGTGGCAGTCTTGGGAAAGGAAAGGCTGTTTTTGTGACAGTGAATTGGATCCTTCCTAATTTAAAAATATATCTGCTAAAGAAACAGTTCACTGAATGGTCATTCACCAAATGATCAGATTCACCAAATGTATTAGTTTATCCCAAATAGTTGTAATAGTTAAAGTGATTAGGATGTTTAAATTTGGTCCCCAATGATGAAATATGATTTTCTGGATATTAACTTTTTAAGGTTAAACCCAACCTGAGAACCTGGCAAAAAAAATCTGTAAATGCTAAAGAATCAGTTTTATTTTTAAAATTTCTGAAGGCAAAAGCTGTTTTTCAGCTTTTTTTTTCTTTGAGGGGGTTATTTTATATGTAATGGGACTTCTTATCTACCTCAGATATAGTTTCAGTTATCTCTGAATGTCATTTCCTATTTTGGTAAACTTTATGTGTTTTCCTTATTCTTTTGCCACTTCCTCAAAGCAAACCAGCTTTCCTTTTATATCTCTAGTATTTATAGTTTAAGATTAAATTAAACTTTAATTAGGAGATTGAACTTTAAATTTAAATTCACAGCACTAAAATAAATCAGAATTTCAGAATTTTAAATTAAAATTTAATGAAAGAAAAAATTTTAATTAAATAAAATTTAGAATTAAAATTTAAATTCATTCAAAAGAATCAGAATTAGCTTAAACCATCACATCTCACATGAAACTAAAAATGTGGGCTGGGCGCGGTGGCTCAAGCCTGTAATCCCAGCACTTTGGGAGGCCGAGACATGCGGATCACGAGGTCAGGAGATCGAGACCATCCTGGCGAACACGGTGAAACCCCGTCCCTACTAAAAAATACAAAAAACTAGCCGGGCAAGGTGGCGGGCGCCTGTAGTCCCAGCTACTCGGGAAGCTGAGGCAGGAGAATGGCGTGAACCCGGGAGGCGGAGCTTGCGGTGAGCCGAGATCGCGCCACTGCACTCCAGCCTGGGTGACAGAGCGAGACTGTCTCAAAAAAAAAAAAAAAAAAAAAAAAAAAGAAACTAAAAATGTGTTTTCTATCAAGGAACAATTAAGGTATCTTGATTTGGTTGGTAGTAATTTGCAAATGATTCTCTATGAAAGCACACACACAAAAAAGAAAAAAAAAATGACCACAATGGACCAAATGAAAAAGATACAAAAAATGGATAAAACATAAATAGATTAAAAATACTGTAAATGAAAACATATGAATGCTAAAAGGTTGGCTCAATAAAAAATGACATTTTAAAAGGAATAACAATCAATATAAATGAGTAATTTCTACGTGAAACTTAAGATTTTGCTTATGACATCTGTATTGGTTTATATTCAGTCATCAAATCAAAATATTTCTCTTAAAATGTATAAGATTATTTTTGTTAAGTCACTATGTTTGATGGATTGGTTTTCGGGAAATAAGCCATGTAGTGAACTGATTTTTAGTGATTTTTCCCTGCTTATTTGCCACCAGCAAATTTCCCAAACTCCCAACTTCTCCAATTTCCATAACTTCTTCTGTGAAACTGAAGTTTCTTTTCCCCCTGAGATGATCAGCAGTCTTCTTAAGTGATAGTCATTTATTCTTTTATAACAGGTTTCTTAAGCTTCTCTGGCTTGACCTTTTCTTCCCTCCTAGACCTGGCCCATATCTGCTCTTAGGTGTCTCAGAAATTCTTCAAATTCAGTGTTTCCAAGACTGAATGTAGGTATATGCTTCTCTTCTGGTCCCTGCCATCCCAACTCTTCAAACTTGTTCTTCTTTAGAATTTTTTTTTTTTTTTTTGCAGAGTCTCGCTTTATTGCCCAGGCTGGAGTACATTGGTACCATCTCAGCTCATTGCAACCTCTACCTCTGAGTTCAAGAGATTCTCCTGCCTCAGCCTCCTGAGTAGCTGGGACTACAGGCACCTGCAAACATGCCCGGCTAATTTTTCTATTTTTAGTAGAGATGAGATTTCACCATATTGGTCAGGCTTGTCTCAAACTCCTGACCTCAAATGATCCACCCATCTTGGCCTCTCAAGTTCTGGGAGTACAGGCCTGAGTCATAGGATTCTCTTTTTAGGATATGGCCACCATCCTTCCAGTAGCATAAGCCAGAAACAAGGAATCAACCCGTCACTAGTTATTCTAGATGTTTTCAAATGTCCATTCATTTCCATTACCCTGCTTCTAGTCCAAGGTACCATTATCTTTTGTTGAAACTCCTATTATAGTCTATTGTCTGCATTTTGGAATTGTGAACATTACATTTTTAAACTTAAAAGCTTAGAACAAAGGCTGTCACCTAGTAAGCATTCACCACATGTATGAATGGACATTGTATTAGTCCGTTTTAACGTTGCTGATAAAGACATACCCAAGACTGGGCAATTTACTAAGAAAATAATTTTAATGGAGAACTCACAGTTCCATGTGGTTGGGGAAGCCTCACAATCATGGCAGAAGGGAAGAAGGAGCAAGTTACATCTTACATGGATGGCAACAGGCAAAAAGAGAGAGCTTGTGTGGGAAAACTCCCATTTTTAAAACCATCAGATCTCGTGAGACCTAGTCACTATCACGAGAAGAGCACAGGAAACACACACTCCCATGATTCAATCATCTCCCACTGGGTACCTCCCACAACACATGGGAATCATGGGAGCTACAAGATGAGATTTGAGTGGGGACACAGAGCCAAACCGTATCAGACATTTAATTAAAGTAGTATATTCTTTGGTCTTCTTTTATCCTCATTTAAAATTTTATTTTAAGAAATTTAAAATATATTTCTAAAATACAGATTATATTGCCCTACTCTTTGAAACCTTTCAATAGCTCCCTATTACTCCCAAAGACCTAAATTCATTATATGACCTAGATGGTTGTGCAAGCTTTGGCTTCTGAATACCTTTCCATGTTCCTGGGACACCTTTCTCCCTCTCTGGGCTCCAGCCACTGACTGTAAGGCCCTGGAATGTGCTCTGCCACTGTTTGGCCCAGAGCTTTGTTTGTATACCTTCTAGTGCATCCCTTCTCCTGCCTATGCCAGCACGCTGTGCCTCTTTTTCCCTCTTGCTTTTCTTCCTTTGTTAAAAATAGACTTTGTTTTTTAGAGCAGCTTTAGGTTCACAGCATAATTGAGCAGACAGACAATTCCCATATACTCCCTGCCCGCATATATTCACAGCCTCTCTCACTCTTGCCTTCCTTTTAGCCTCCCATGCTAGATCTGTTTCTTT